GTAAATATTTTTCAATATTCCAAAACTACACACGACAGATATATAATAAATATGTAATCAAATCCCAACAAAAAATACCTTTTATGAAAATATTTTATCTTTTAAAACTCTTTTTAAACTGCCAAATCCCCGTTAAAACCAACCTAAGTATATGTATCGCTCAAGTCATAAAAGGCTCTAATGGAGTTCTAGATATCAATCCCACAAAGAAGTTGGAAAATCTTTGAAGTAAGTTCTTAAAATTGTTTTATAATTTAAAAATACAAAAATAAAATTAAAGTGCAAAGTTTCAATAATAACTACTAAGTTAAATGCTATGTAAAATGCAGTTGAAAAACAAAGTTAACTAACTAATAACTAACTTTCAAAAGTAAAATTATAAAAATTAAATAAAGTTTTTATTTTGACGGAAAGTTCAAATTTAAGAAGCATACTTCCCCTTTACAATGAGTATATAGATCGTGAAAAAATTAAAATCATTTAAAAATTTATATATAAATTATTTTGTGCCAAATAAAAGCAATTCTATTCTTTACCCTCTTTTGAGTGCTATTTTTAACTGTTATAAAAAACATTGACTAATTCAGAGTTTGGTCCCTAATTCTGTGGTTAGGCTAGGAGGATACCGGCTGCCACTCCAAAGGTCCCACTACTCCTTCACCTGAGGGCTAATAATCTCACATCAATTTCCAATCAACTAGACCAAATAAAAGATTTTAATCTGTCACCTTAAAATCTCATTTTCTACATCCAATAAAGTATTAATCAACTAGACCAAATAAAGGATTTTAATCTGTCACCTTAAAATCTCATTTTCTACATCCAATAAAGTATATTTCCCTATTTATTTGCACCTAATCCCATGGATGACATACTCTCCCATGAAATAAAATGTGATTCTCACTATGTTGTAGAAATCATATCCCTTTTCAAAACATATGTCTCTCAATAAGTTTTAACATTTCAATTGGCCGAAAGACACAACTTATCTCACAATCCTTCCAAAGTAAATCCCTTGAAGTTCTCTCCAAGCTTTTCTCTCTTTACAATCCCACTCAATTCTTTCGTAGAAGTGTAATGAAGAAGAAATCTCTCACCTTCCCTCTCCTCTTACAACCCTAGAAAAAAATCTCCTCTTCTCTCCTCTTGCCTCTCACACCAACTTTCTCTCTCTCTTTCTTTCCCCTCTTTTCCTCATTATGAAATCTAACCTTTATTTTGAGCTGCTACCTTTCAAAAAGAATCAAAATTCTCCTCCAAAAGTTCCCTTCAAAAGTCAACTCTTTTGAATTCAAAAGATGTGTCATTTGATCCAAGAGAAATTTCCCTTCATAAAAGAACCTTCCAAAGTGTCTAGATGCATTGAATTACTCCAATAGGTGTGTATAGCAAGTGTTCTATTGAAAATTTGTGCAAAATTCATCTCGAACCGCCTTAATTTGCTAAAAGTCATCTCTGAGGCATAATGCATTGATCTAGCACATTATGTGCCACTTTTTTGTCAAACGGCACATCATGCGCCGATCTGGTGCATCGTGCGCTAAAATCCCAAAATTCACTATTTGGTTCAAAATTTTGTCATTTTTGTCATTTTTTCTCCAAATGACTAAAAATTATATGTCTGTAATAAAAACATTAAAATATCATTCTTTAAAGTGCAATATCACCAAAAATAAGTATAAAATATGTGCTTAAAATAATATATTATTTGGTGTATCACTTTGTTATACAATTTAAGCTCTAACTCATCTTAGGCTCTGAGGTTGTCTTTTTTTATGCCATAAATCCTTCTATCTTCTAGGCTATTTTTTTGACTGTGCCATGCATACATAATTCTTAATAAAATTGGCAGGATGTAACATTTAAATAATTTTTCCTCTTGAATCTGAAGCTAAAACATAGGATAGCTAGGGAATTCACTGAGGTTCTCCTTAGGATCTGTGACAACCCCTAGTTCCTCTTCCTTTTGGATTCCATAATAATGTTCTAAATTTGACTCATTCCCTTTTTATACTTCTTTGGTCTGATCTTTTAAAACTACCCCTTGAAATTCTTGAAGGAAATATTCCCCGATCTAAATTAAGAGTTTTCTTAGGTGACTTCAGTTATCTAAGTTGTAATTAACTATAGGAGCTTGCAGCTTGCCCTTATAAGAAAGCCCTTATAAGAAACTTTAAGAACCTAGCTTAATATAAACTCTATTTATTTGTAATATTAAAAAGGGGAACTTGTCGGTTAACATAAAAATGATTTTTTTCATACTTAAATGGATGTCATAAATTTTTTGGTTTATTTAATCGAGCCTCACCAGTAAGTAGTGTATTTATCCTTCGAGATAAGTATATTGATTGTGGTGTTGTGCTTGATCATTTAAACTATTATATATATGAGATCAGTTCGATCTCGTATTTTCAAAACTTAAAATATTACCGTTTCAAAATTATATATATATATATATATATATATATATACAGAAGGAAAAGTTGACAGCTGAAGAGAGAGGGGCTCTGCTAGGGTTTTTGGCAGGATAAAGTGCCGTTGGGGTGGTTTCAGTGGAAGGTGCTGCAACTCTCTTCTTAAGGGAGCGTGTTTTTGTCTCCTTCTTAAGGGAGCTTGTTTTTGTCTCTTATTGCCTTGGGAGTTAGCTTCTCAGACTCTTTTTTCTAAGACTCTGGTGGTTTTTACTGTTCAATTGGTGTCTTCTAGTTTTTGGCCTGCTTCCTCTGCTCTTTTGTTTTCTGGTTTTGACCAGCTTCTTCTGGCTCTGGTGGTGGAGTACATTCCCCGCTTTGGTGCTCGGTTCTATTAGTTTGGACTTTGCTGTGTGGTTTGGTCTGAGTAGACCACATAGACTTTTTGAATCTTCCCTTGTAGTTTGTTGGTACTGTAGTTTTAAGATTGAGTTTCCTGGGGTTTATGGCTACCCCTATAGATATTGAAACTGATGTTCAGTGGGCTAAGGCCACTTATGCAGGGGTGGTTGGCAAATCAACTGCCTCCCTCAGTGATCCTGAACATTTAGTCTTCCCACAGAAATTTCATGACACAGTTGTTGGGAAGGGTAACAACCCTTGCATTCATCCTTTAGGTACTAAGGATGGAGAACAACCTGTTTATTTCTCTCCTCAAGAAATTCATAACCTAAATGATCAAGTAAAATTTACCTTAGTGGGAAAATTTCTTCTTGGCCACCCCAAAATAATTTCTTCTTGGCCACCGCAAAATGGACTTAGTAAGAAATTACTTTGCTTCTTTAAAATTCAATAGAGATTGGTAGATTGGAATACTAGTTGGAAGACATCTACTCATACAGCTATCAGGGGAGGAAGACTATGCTAGACTATTTGCAAAACAAGCTCTTCAAAAAGGAGGCACCACCATGAAAATTCTGAAGTGGGATCCTAATTTTGACCCTAGTAAGGAACCTCCCATAGTTCCCCTATGGTTTAAATTACCTGGCCTGCCAATTCAGTATTTTAATCTCAATGCTTTATTTAATATTGCAAGTCCAATAGGGAGACCAATGAAGGTGGATGCTCCTACATACAACAAAGCTAGACCTGCCCTAGCTAGAATTCTCATTGAAAGAGATGCTACTCTCCCTGAAGTCGACAGGCTATGGATTGGTAATGACAAAGAGGGATTCTGGTAGAAAGTGGTGTTAGAACAGAAACCATACTATTGTCATCACTGCAGGATTTTTGGACACACGAAGGATAGATGTTTCAGGCTTCACCCTCCCCCAAAGAAGACTGTGGCATCTCAGGAAAGGAATACTCAGCCTACTCCCCCAGAGATTACAGTTGTTGGGGAACCCTCTCCAACTGGGAATTTGGGAGACTTGTTGGATACACCCAGAAGCTCTACAGCTCCTTTTGGTTCCACATATCCCACTAATATTTCCCCCAGTCAAATCAGGGAGGAGGAGAACCCAATAAAAATTATAACACCTCTATCTGTTCCATTTGATGAGGTGGTGCAATCCAAGGAGATTAACGAAAAAGCTACGCTTGTTATAGAAGCTCCTCAGAAGAAAGACATAGCTGAGATGAAACACCTAATGGAAGAGGAATGGAAAACATAGAAATCTAAGAAGAAGAAAAAAATTCAATCTGAAGTTTAGAAATTAAGGGATGGTAATAATGGGTACACAGAAGCTACAAAGATGGGTGGACCTCCTCCCTCTAGAGGAAGGACTAGTTCAAGATCTCAGCCCTCTCCCCATTACAATCCCTCCCATGATTAATATGCTGTGTTGGAATATAAGGGGCATTGCCCATCCTCAGTCTCTAAGAAGACTGATTTATCTTAACGAAAAATACAAGCTGTGCTGCTTTCCTATACTTGAACCTATGGTTTAGCAAAACCCACAGAGAATTATTAACAAATTTCTTGGTTTTTCTCACTATGCCAACAATAATAATAAAATTTGGTTCTTTCGTAGGAAAGAAATACGGTGGAGCATTTTTATGGATTATCCTCAGTTCATACACCTATCACTGCTTATACAAATGCCATCTGGAGTTTGTTACATTTATTTATGCTGGAAGTCTCTTAAAGCCGATAGACAGGAGCTTTGGGAGGGCTTACATCTCCTTAGCACTAATATGGCTTCTCCATAGATTGTTGGTGGAGATTTCAATTGTATCACTTATGCAGCTGAGAAATCTGGAGGGAAACCTCCTAACTTGTCCAAAATGACTTATTTTAATGATAAAATTCAGCATGCTAGTTTGTTTGACTTGGGATACCAGCGTCCTAAATTCACTTGGAAGAGGGGTCTCCTGTGGGAAAGACTGGACAAGATGTTAGTAAATGACCACTAGCAAAAACACTACCTCTTTACTTTTGTTACCCACCTAACCCTCACTGGTTCAGACCATAAACCACTCCTTATATCCATTACTTCACCTAGTACTACCACACTCCACCCACCTTTTAGATATTTAAACATGTGGTCTACCCATCCCCTTTTCATTAAAAGTGTTGCTTCTAACTGGATGGGAATTGATCATACTGAGCCTTTAATTAAGCTTAGCCTTCATCATCTGAAAACTAGCAAAGCTTTGAGGAACTGGGGCTGGGAGACTTTTGGAAATGTTTTTTCCAATGCCATATCTGCTGAGAAGGAAGTTGAGAGGCTTGAGGCTGCTGTTCAGAATAATGCTGCCACTGAAACTGAGTTGCTCACTACCCAAACTAATCTGAATAAAGTTATTGACATCCAAGACATGCTACTCAAACTGAAAGCTTCTATCAACATTTTTACTGAAGGGGACAGAAACACTAAGTTCTACCATTAGTTACAACATTAGTCACAAAAGGAAGTGCAATACCATTCACTCCATATACTCTACTGAGGGCAGATGGCTTAATGACAATGAACTTATAGCTAAGGATGTAGTTATGTACTATAGCTCCCTCCTGAACTCTTCTGCTGATCTCATTTCTGATTATGAAGACTACTTTACTGAAGAATCAAGTTACACCAGTCAGCTAAATCTCACTGAACTCCCTTCAGATGAGGAAATTTGGGAAGCATTGAACACAATTGACAGCTCTAAAGCAGCTGGCCTTGATGGCTTCACCGCTGACTTCTATAAAAAAGCCCGGCACATTATCAAGAAGGAGGTGGTTGAGGCAATCAGAAGCTTCTTTAGTGGAGCCAATCTCTCTAGCTATTTTGTTAACACATCTATTGTGCTTACTCCTGTGCTTACTCCTAAAGTTACTCCTAAAGAAGATCTACAGAAGACTTGGGAACATTTCAATCCTATCAGCCTTACATCTTTCATAAGCAAACTCATAAACAAGAAACAAGATCATAGTCAGAAGAATACTTCAGCCCCATCTTCACAGGATTATCTGTCCAAACCAAACTGCTTTCATTAAAGGAAGATCCATTAATGATAATGTGTTGTTGGCACAAGAACTCATTTTGGACTTAAATAGAATCAGTAGAGGGGGTAACCTTATCTATAAATTAGATATTAAAAATACTTATGACACCATTGACTGGAATTTCATCTTGGGGATTCTTGCAGCTAGAGGGTTTCAACTCTTGCAGCTAGAGGTTTTCACTCATCCAAAGGACAACTCATCCAAAGGAGGCTTATAAACAACAATCACTCCATCCTTATCAAAGGCCAACCATGGTGTTCTTTCACTGCTACCAGAGGGCTCAAACAAGGTGACCCACTTTCGCCCACTATCATTATAATTGCAATGGATTACTTTTCTAGAATGCTTGACAGCAACATCGTCAACCAACAGTACTCTAGATTTCATCACAAATCCAATATAGCAATTTCCCACCTCATGATGCTGATGATATCATGATATTCTCCAATGTCCAAAATATTGCAGTTAAGAAAGTTTATAAATGTATACAACAATTTTAGAAATACTCTAGGATGAAGTTCTGCCCTACCAAATGCCAACTTATATTCAACAAGAGGGCTTCTTCCAACTGCAAGCATTGGGTATCCAACTACACTAGCTTCTCTATTGCTAGGGACCATGTGAAATATTTAGGGGTCCAACTCACTTAGGGGAGATCTAAAATGACCCAATTTGATGAGATATTTCAGAAAATACAGAAAACTTTATCAAGCTGGTCTCATTCTTTCCTGTCAAATGGGGGTAGAGTTACTCTCCTTAGAAGTATTTTAACTACCTTCCCCTCTGATATTCTTCAAACCAACTACCTTAAGAAAAGCATCCAAATTCAGTTGGAGAGAGTATTCAACAGATTCTTATGGGCAGGTCAAAGATAGCAGCTATACTGGGCTTCATTGCAGAAGGTAGTTAAACTAATAGCAACAGTTGGGCTGGGATTCAAGGGTCTACAACAAGTCACACAGATTAATTTCTGTAAGATGTGGATTCATTTCAAAACACAAACTTCCCTGTGGGCCAAGTTCATGTATGGCAAGCATTGCAAAGGACAACATCCTTCCCTTATTACCAAGAAGCTAGGGGACTCCAGAATCTGGACTAATATGCTTAAAATCAGAGATCTTGCTGAAGACATGTACACATGGGATTTGGGAAATGACAAAGTGAATTTTTGGCTGGATCACTGGTGTCCTAAGGACTGGCTAGGGCCCCCCCTTCAGATTTTAATCCCCAACTCTCAGTCTGTGATCTTTGGGATGGGGACTCCTGGGATGTTTATAAGCTTCAATCTATTCTATAGGAGCCTCACCTATCTCAAGTCACTAATACTGTTTTTGATCAAGGCAAAAAGGAAAAGATTATATGGCATAGCTATGCTAATCAAAGCTTGACAAAAGTTATCTATGCTAAACTAAGTGGTTGGGATAAGGTCAATTGGGGTGAAGCCATTTGGAAAAAAATATTTATCTCCCTCCATATCCTCCTTTTGTTGGAGATTCTTCAACAACCTTTTGCCAACAGATGATATACTTAAACTTAAGTGATTAAGAGGGCCCTCTAGATGCCATCTCTGTCTGAAATCTAAAGAGAATATTAACCACCTATTTTTCAATTGTGAGTTTGCTCAAGATGTATGGAAAGCACTCAGTAAGATTAAAGGTGAGAAATTGGATAAGGACTTGTCTAGCCTCAAAGATGGCTTGCATAGCAAGAAAAGTAAACAAGAGGAGTCTATTCCCTTTATTGTGGCCTGGTTCTTGTGGATGGGTAGGAATAGCAACAAACATGAAAACATGATGATTCAACACAAGAAGGTAACTAAGAACTGTCTTTCTTATTTAAACAAGCTGATCCAGCTCAAAAACTTCCCTAACATCAGCCTGCCTCAGACCAGTGCTCTCAATAATCACAAAAAAATTGAGACAGTTACTTGGCAACCTCCTGATTTCCAAACCATAAAAATTAACACTGTTGGAAGCTTCTCTAAATGGGGTGCAGGGGTTGGGGGGGTTTCAGAAATTCCTCCAGCAATTATATGTTATTATTTCATGCTCCCACAGTGGCCAATGATGCTCTTGAAGCTGAGCTCATTGTTGTTTACTGGGCCCTCACCTTTGCATAGAAAGCTACATGGTAGAACTTATGGATTTAGGTTGACACTTTACAGCTGATCACCTAACTTACCACAGAGCTGCTATCCTCTTGGCACCATATGCAATGGAAGTAGAAAATTGACAAACTTCACAAAAAGTTCACAGTTCAAATGACTTTCATTTATAGAGAAGGAAACCAAATTTGCAAATTGGCTCGTCAGAAAAGTAATTTATGCTAACTCCATTTCAGTTGATACAAGGCCTCCCACCCCTCTTGCCCTCCTACTTCATGGTAATAAGCTGGAGACTCCTCACCTCAGATTCAAGACTAGTCAACTCAATGAGCTTTAGTTTCCTGGTGCTTATCGCATTTTCTCTTTATTTAGTTGTATTACACTTTTGTAGGCTTTTTTGAGGATTAGTCTCCCTCCTTTTGTAAGGGGACCCCTCCTCTGGAACTTTTGTACTACTTTTAATGTTCAACATGTAGGGAGCCGAATAATGCTCCTTCCTACAATAAAATAAATCAAAGCGGGAAACGAGATTCCCATTCCAACAATCGATAAGCTCTAGTTTGGCGACGACACTTTTTCCTTAGTTATTTCACTCAAGTGATTATTTGGAAGCAATTTTGCAGAGATAAAGTAATATCATGCTTTAGATTAAACATTTAACATGGAAGTTGAGAGGAAGTTGAGAAATTGACTTTGTTTGAGAAATTGACTTTGTGATTATTCTTAATCTTCCATTCTCCCCTTCCATTAATGAGATAGGCAATTACTTCAACAAGTGATCAATTAGAAATCACAAATGCAGTGTACTCACAATGAAGTTCATTGCAGCCCATAAAGTGCATCGATTCTCTATCGAGTAAATTCAACATGTTTACCTCTAACATAAATGTGCTCGTCCATTGTCACCAGAAGATTAGTATAAAATTATGGAATGATAGAAATAATGGCTACTATGGTGAAGTAGCAAAGGTCTCCCACTTCTGAGAAATTATCAACCTTTCAATCACTTCTCCCGAGTTTGAAAATGCACGTTCCTGAATCAATTTTTTGGTTCCCATCATAGTATTATAAATGTACCGAGTCTTCAAATTTACGAATTGCCTCGCATCAAAATTTCTCGAAGGCTTTCCTCTCTTCACTCTTGGAGCCATAGGAATTTTTAAATAAATTCACATAAAATCCATATAAATTCACAATATCATAAATCAAACTCCAAAAGTAGGAATATTTGGTGAGAAACTTTTCACCATGAGTTCTCTCTAAACTTCTTCAGTAAAACTCAAATTTTCAAATTTTCATAATGTAGGAAAAATCAAATGTAAAATAAAAAATTTCTAAGTTAAAGCGAAGCTCTTACCAAGGGAAGATAAAATCCAAGAGCTTTTTTTCCCTTCAAATCTCCTCAAATCTACCAAATTGCAAGCCTTAGGTCGAGTTTCAGTCTTAATTTAGAGGTAGGAGACAACCCAAGCAATAAAAATGGTGTTTTACAGTGGTTTTTGCAGTTTTAAGTAAATCTGGATGTACTCGGGAAAATGACACCTCATGAGCTAAATTTGGCGCCTCTAGCACCAACACAAAAAAATTTCAGATTTCGATTTTCCTTGGAAATCTGCTGCATTCCACACCACGTCAACCTCTAAATGACTTAATTAAACACATATTCATAATTTAACAAATTTTTAACACATATTTTCACAAACAACACAAAACTCATATTTATAAATAAAATCCAAACAATTACAAACCAACATTTTTCAAGCAAAAACATCTAATTCAATATTGAAATCAAACCATAGAAACTAACGTTGAAGACTAAATGTTAAATACTAAACATATGACACATATAAATTTCAACAATAAAAAGTAAATGAAATCTAGCATAAACACATAACACACATAAGCACTAATAATTATGAATTTCGTACTAAAACGAGTTCAAAAATCTTCTTCACTTTCATCGTCTTGAATGTTTCCCATGGATTGGTAGTGAATGTTTAAGTTATTAAAACGTTGGTAAGGAAATTTTTCCATTGAATCTTTTTCAATCCAAGCATTTTTCTTAAACATTTGTACCATACCTTCTTCAATACGCGTGGTATGTTCAAATTATCCTTTCATCCTCCAATCTAAATGATCAAATATAGCAGAAATATTTCCAATTGAAATCATAATATTTTTTGCCTCTGTTTCCAACTACTTGATCCTTTTCAAAATATCATGCAAACTAAAAGGAAAGCAAGGCTGAATAGGTGATGAATTTTGAGATGATTGATCCATAAGAATATGCAGTTGCAACAAACCCTTGGATCCATAAGCTTTCAAGGGAGAAGCACTTTTCCCAACTTTCATAAGACACTTATGTCTGGCTGCATAGAAGGAATATGGTAGATCGGTGTTCTGGCCATAAGTTGATTCATTGATAATAAAACCCAAAATAGATTTTACAATTAAGGCACACACATCAATACTTCCCGTTTGAATACAATAATTCAAAATAGCACTTAACTTCGTCACTTTACTGATTTTCAAGGTAAGAAGTAGTTTTGATGCAATATAGAAATGCCACACGTTCAATGTAGAATTCAATAATTATGAAGAAAAAATTACATTTTTTTATCTCTTATCTGCCAATTTGCATCTTCATTAGTAAGAAATCAATAAAGTTCATTCATATTATCTCTCGTAGGGACAAAATTTGCATAGTGATAAATAGGGACACCTTCAATCATAAAAAAATCATTTATTCTTGAAGAAGTGAATGGTGCCCACCTATTGAACATAGGAGAATCCTTGGTTAATTCCAGAAAGATAACCATAAAACTCTATCACCACAAGAACTACTATCCTAACCGAGCTATAACAAAGCACTTCCCAGCATCTTTGT